TATATATATATATATATATATAATATAATATAACACTTACATCACCTTGTTTTCATGATGGATCACAACATAATGTTCAATAAAAATGACTGGAGTCATGCATGTCTCATGTAAAATACTTGAGAGGATCCTAGTTATGTCAGATGGGATACACTACCCCCATTTCCCTGTTTCAGTTGCCCCAAGTTAATGATGGCCTCTTACTTGAAAACAATCCATAACCTCTCCTCTTTCCATCAGTTATCCACCATGATGACCTGATAATTTACTGTCTGTTGCTACATAATCTAAGTTATTTCTTAACTCAGTTTCAACAAAGAAAAATAAGTAATGTCTACAGAGCCTACTCCTGCTTTATTCCATATAATAAAAATGGTGGTTATTATCTAAACAAACTAAAATGATGTACACCTCAATGTTTCTTTGCAAGGCTGAATTGTAAACTATTATAAATTCACTTAGGAAAATGTTTGAGACACATTCCGATACAGTATTAAATATGAAGATGGGCTCACAATTTTTGTTTGAAACTTAATATTACTGGCAGGGTCGCACCATAGCTCAAGCGGTTAGTCGCTGGCTTCCCACCGTGGCGGCCCGGATTCGATCCTGGGTCTGGTCAAGTGGGATTTGTGGTGGACAAAGTGGCGCTGGGGCAGGTTTCCTCAGAGTACTTTGGTTTCCCCTGCCAATCTTCATTCCACAAATTGCTCCACAATCACCCTCCCTATCATTTGGGTCTGGTACAATAAGCCAGAAATGGCTGCAGTACAAGGGACTTAGTCCCACCCCTCTAGCAATAAAAAAAAATATTACTGGCAGCAAAACTTGAAAAAACAATATAGCTACATATTTCACCCAAAGCATCTTTATAATTCAGTGAAAAACCACCTTACATAAGTAGAAACAGAAACAATCTGTGCAGAAGGCCAGCGACCACAAACAAACATAACCCCATATGTATATGTCAACATGGGGGTCAATAAATTAAAAAGTCTGACTGCAAACAGAGCATCTGTAGTGATGACAGAAGCAATGGAAGTATAAAAGTCAAAACACCAAAAAATCAAAGCCATTAAGAATTACCCAAATAACAAACAACAGCCCTGAGAGAAATTCAATACTGAAATCTCAAATGTTCAAAAGTGTACTCGCTCGTTCTCTACACGACCATCCAGCTATGTCCCTACAATTCATATTCATGTCTGAAAGCACTTAACTGATGCAGTGTCATAACATTTAAAATATTCTTGAATGTCCCTATGAAGGAAAATAAAGTATAAATGAAAAAAGTTATCACCTTTCAAGTCAGAGTTACTTTATGACTGGTGGTTTACTGAAAATCAGCTTGTCTTGGCATCAAGACCCTTGAGAACAATGAGCACATTTTTTTAAACTGAACTCCTGAGGTAAGTCCTTATGTAATATCCTCTCTGACAAGATGGGTTTGTCTCTTATGAATATGCTTGGCCTTTTATCAAGTGTACATTTTGAACAATAACATGTTATTGAAAATTGTTCCTTTTTCACTACACAATAGTCCTCTATCAGTAGAGGCTTCAGAGCGGATCATGCCTATCTCACGTTACAAGCACAACTTAGTCATAAGTTTGACCACTGCCAAGTTTAAGCCTCCTATATTTTCTAAGTTTGGCTTCACCTTGTATTATACCACAAATATGTTCATTCTCATGGATTTGTATGACTTCTGCTTGTTGCCTGCACAATTTTGTTATAAGATTATGTACACACAGAAGCCTGAAAGCTGTGTGCAAATCACAGACTGGTGCGCCTTAACCTTGTTTTGCATGCTCCGCAGTTTTAAGATGATCCCCTTTCCCTAACTACACAATGAGTACTTGAGATGACACAGATTGGACACACAACATTGTATTTAACAGTCATGTTTACTGAGCTACTGCCTTGCAACGGCCAAGAAAAGCAGTCTAAAACAGTTTCATGTGTTAACAAAAAACGTGTACACATGAATTCGGTAATTTTATATTACTGAAAGTTCAGTTTATACCTCGCTTTAAAAAGCCGAAAGCGAGATCGACAATACCAATCACCTACTTTGTAGGCAATTACTTGCTACATTAAAAGGTATGGAGGCCTTAAGAAGTATAAAGGGGATAATCGAATAATCGAATTATGAATCATTCTATGATCAAACTACATTAATTCTATAACATGGGGCATACACTATTATCTGTGTACTCTTAAACATTACTAACGATCTGTTCTGATCCATTTCAAACATTCTTATATTACAAACCTCACCTGAACTTCAAGTCTTCATTTTCTTCCCATAATCGTTTCGCATCAATCTCCAGCTTGGCTCTTTCCCGTGCTGTTTCATCAAGTAACTTCCGGGCATCAGCCAACTCATTCTCATACATAGACTTTATACTTGTCACCTCACGCGTAACTGTTTCTTGCGTCGTTTGAACTTCACGTGTAAGTCTGCTATTTTCTGCTTCTAAATGCCTCACCCGATCTATGTAACATGCTAAACGATCATTCAAATTTTGAAGATCTGCCTTCTCCTGGAGCCGGCTGTACCGGGTTGGACTCAATGGGCTGCCTGGCCTACCTGGCGGCGTTGATGTACTTGGTTGTGGCGTGTGTGTATCACGTCCTGAGGAAGTTGTCGTTGAAGACATACTTACAGTTGTTTTTTTACTACTTTTCGTTGCCATTTTGTACCTTTCAAGCAAAGACGCACCAAAGCCTAACGTAACACACTTCACACCAGTAACATCGAACAATGTCGACCCAAGCCAATATTACTCGGTTGGTGGGATTACGGTTGATACCACGTGATCTATGACGTCATCCACACGCCCACTTGGATGCGTTCGGAATTCAGTCTGTTTAAATTTAGGTCATGTCACAGAAAGTTATTGATAAGAGGAAGGGCATGAAATTCCAAACACCTGCCCAAATAGCAGAGCAAATCCAAACTACTAACAGATTTGACTCGCTTAGTAAACTACCCCCTGATAACAACCAATATAGGCAACCACCAATCTCAGAGAATCCTGCCAATCCCAAAAGAGAACCCAAACCACCACCTATCTACATTTACGGGGTGAATGACTTTAAAGCAATGCTAAATAACCTTGCCAAGGTCACCGAAAATGAAACCTATACAGCAAAAGCGCTGCCCAATAATACAATAAAAATCATGCCAAATGTGCCAGAAACGTACAGAAAACTAATCCAACATGTTAGGAAGGAAAATATCATACATCACACGTACCAACTGAAACAGGAAAGAGCGTACAGAATAGTAATACGCGATCTGCATCACTCTATACCAATACCCGACATAACAGAAGAACTAAACAAGAAAGGGCATAAAGTAAGGAACATGATAAATGTAAAGCATAGAGTTAGCAATGAACCATTGCCTCTCTTCTTTGTTGACCTGGAACCACAAATCAACAACAAAGAAATTTACAACCTAGAATTTTTGCTAAACTGCAAAATTNAAAAAAAAAAAAATAATCATCGTACACCCATTATTGTTTTTAATAAGAATATATAGTCTTTTACTCGAAAACTATAGCGTCTCTTTCTATTAGAATATTCGAAAGAATAGTACATTTTGTAGATACCGACAACACTTCATTCTATGCGAAGTCCGAGTTTTTAAGACTGAACGTCGACACTATATTTCTAAAGACCACGAATTATTTCGTTAAGGCGAAAAGATGGGACGGATGATAAGAGCTTACACAGCTAGAACACAAAGGATTGTATTTCTTCGAAATGATACGTCATGTGTTCATATTCATATAAATCGAGATTTCACACTCATGTAATAACTAATATTATTCCAAATTATGTAGAAGAATTATTTGATAACTTCGACAACAGAATATGCTACTGCAGAAACGAAGGTGTGAACATAATATTTGATCAATTCCAGAGCATGTGAGAAACAATACGATATCCAAGACTAAGCTCATTGAGAAGTACACGACTAAACTTTCATTAAAAAGTGATAGCAATGCCAAAGTTGAATTACAGCCTTGAAAACTGAACAGGCCAGATTGCCTGATCCGTGACAAAGAAAAAGTTGAGGAAGTTCCTGGAATTAAACCGCCAATGTTGTTCTATAACAGCATAAGAGATGGAACTACAAGAACGAGTTACAACTGCTGCCATTGTGACGATTCCGAGAACTACTTGCATCTACAGTAATGGGAAGGAATGTAACTGTCGTCGTGATGGTCGTCATTACTGTGTTTGGAGATGTATGGTCGTATGGTAGCTTCCTTGCCCGTTCTGCTCTCGAACGTCAGACCATCTGGCACTTTTGTTTTTGGTTATGCTCTTCAAAAAGTATGATATGCTTGATCTGTTACGTCAGTCCCTCCATTTTAAGTAGCGACGTGCTATGTTTCATCTTCTTTTTGGGATGTATGTTAAAATTCTCGTACGAATTCGTCTGTCCTCCAGTCGTAGAATGTGACGTCTCAACTGTGATCTGGATTTTAGAACTTTATTATTCCGATTTAAAATATTTAGTTCCTTCCGAATTTTAGTAGGCTTAAATCCAGTTTCGTCAGTCAAAAATTTTATTTATGCAGTTTCCATTTCTGCTTCCTGATTTTTGTGTTTTTTTTTGTTATATTCCAGATTTAGAATCCATAGATACTGCCATAGCATTATAAAACTGAATCTATGTTTTATGCAGAAACTGCCTTCTAAAAGAAGTTATTGAAGGAAAGATAGAGGGGCGGATAGAAATGACAAGAAGACGAGGAAGACGACGTAAGAAGATGCTGGATGACCTTGGGGACAGAAGAGGATACTGTCATTTGAAGGAGAAAGTTCTAGATCGCATTAAGTGGAGGAATTGTTTTGGAAGAGACTGTGGACCTGTCGTCTGACAGATTACTGATGATGATGATGATGATGTATACAGTTAGAAATATGCCGGTTACGAAATGTCATAAAGCGCCTCGGACTTTGGGACGGATTCTTTGGATAAACGACCTAAGCCAAGGAAAATGGACATGAATTTATTATGTGGAATATGAGAAGTCTGCATAGGTCAGGTTCTCTCTCGACAGTTGCCAAATGAATATCAAAATATAAATTAGATTTAGTGGGAGTACAGGTCAGATGGGACAGAGGTGGCAATGAACCTTCAAGCGAATATATATTTTTCTATTGAAAAGGGAGTGAGAATCATGAATTAGGTACAGTTCTTTTTTTTTTTTTTTGCATAATAGAATCACATCAGCAGTTAAGAAGGATTCATTATCCAGAAGGAGTCCAATGTGTGAACTGTTATAATCAACATTAACTGTAATAGAGATGTCCAATAAATCTAGTCTTGAAATATAGAACCTACACATATTAGTCACGCTGCCCTGGATACACGTGACAATAGATATCTCGGTATCTGCACCGAATTCTAGAATCCTCTTTTCAGCTTCTCTTTCATCATCTTGTTTTAGATTTAGATTTATTTGCTACCCTGTGTCACCTGCTTCACGTCCATTTGTTTAATTAAGCATCAAATGTGGACGTTTTTGGAAATGGAGGTAAGGCTTAACGCATTGTTAATGGCGCTAATTAATATAACTGAGTGGTCAGCTTCACTTACTGGCCGATTTATTCCTGAAGAAAAATGCCAACCTAATTATCGTTTCGTAGGTAAATGGATAGACCCCAAAGCCAGTCTAGACGCAGTGGTAAAAATACAATCTCTGACTCGACATCTACCACATCGACACATCTACTTTCTGCGACTGCGCAACCCCATCTCTGTCATCAATTATTCAGAAATTCAACAGGTGAAATAAGGTCGTGTAGTAACAGAAAATGAATTGAAAATTTCCTTCCTATTCGTCTGTTTTCTTAAATTATAATCATTCTCAAATTTAACTTCTAAGTCATAAGTTAATTTGGTATAGCCAATGATGTGCGAGGCAAATTAATCTTTACATAAAGAAATGACTGTAAATAGTACAATGTTTGATACTGCATCAGTCTGTGATGTAATTATCTCTTTATTCTTTCTAGACTTCGTCCATTTCAAACACAACTATCGATCAACTGTTATGATCGATCTTCTCAAATGCTGTCCGCATGTTTACACTGTAAGTGGTACTGAGGCCCCTGGAACAGTCCATACAGAAGTCAGAAGGCGGTGGCTAAGCTACTGAGAGATCAAGAAGAACTTGTCGATACGAATATATTCATGTTTATTTTTCAGATGCACTAACATATTCCTGAAAGGTGTCGGCTTTATAGTTATATACAAGTTGTAATAGAAAATACAGGCGCTCCAATACAAAGATACGAACGATAAAACATTACAACCACGCCTTCACTGAAATGCACTGCAAAGAAATCAAAATTACACATATACGTTTACTGAGCCTAAATGTTCCGATATTATCGTGTTGATACGAGATTCTCTTATGCTCTCGCTTTCACTCACTATCGCTTACAGAAAGAACGTGAGACGAAGTTTAATGTGTATACAAACTTATTTTCCATACATTTCTGAGTAGTTCCCTTCACACTACTGGTGTAGGGCTGTATCTTAAACTTTGCTAATTCAGTGAAGGTGTGTAAGCTGATGACACAAAACATACAGCTTAGAAGGAACTCTGTTATCATGATCAATTAATTGTGACGTGAGGTAATTGCATTATTGGCATGGACAGTCCATGTACACGTATATAAAGCCATTACCTGAATGCACAATTAAATTACTCCTATAGCAAGAGGTTCAACCTATACATAAACACCAACATTTTCAGAATACATAATCTAACAACTATAAAATAATTCTTACATAACAACACAGTGGTAACGATAAATAGTCTAATACATTTAAAACATGAAGAAAGCAGTCTTCTGGGATGTGGCACCATGTAGATGTGGTGTTAATCAACGTTTCGGAGGAACGTATCGCCTCCCTCTTCAGGGTAGAAGGAAAAATAAGAAATCCGCGAGCGAAGAGACCGTGACAACGCATATAACTACAACATGTATATCGAAGTAAGAACTGGACTGAGAGACAATTATTGATTCGCCTACTGTGGTATAGGTGATCGAAAGTGAAAATTTAGTTATGTATTGCATTTGCAAAGCACTCATATGAGAACAAAAAAAAACGAGCAGGTGGCGTAGCGCTAACGCTGTATATCAGTCCGAGAGGATTTCGATTCGTATCTTCGCTGAGACATTTAAGTGAGACTTTCTGTAGTGCTTCTCAGTCACTTCCTTCCAGATCATTTATTGTGTATCATTCATCAACCTTCCTACTATTCAACCCAGAATAGTCTTTATACCGACAGTACTCCAAAATACCCCAGCAATAAGAAGAAAAAACGCTCTTGCGGAATGTAGTTTGTCACATTGGAAGCACGAAGAAACCCAAATATTTACCTAAGAATGCTGTTGTATGGTTTCCCATATTTTCGGAACCAAATTTCAAATATATGTCATGACATAACAACACAAGTTTACCCGAATATACGTCTTCGGTTTGCGGGATTTATTCTCTCTCTATGCGCTCAGTGTCTTTTCATATACGCTACGAATGTAGTGAAAAACTCATAAAAATGAAATTACTAAATTAGACGTCCAGCATCTGAAATTACAGTCATTGGCCAGATGTCTGCTGATAGCCGGCTACTTCCCCCACTTCTTCCGGCTATTCCTCATGCACTTCCAGCCTCATTAATCTAAACCTATAAAGCAATTCTCATGCTTAGAATTTAATACAAATTTAAGGATGTTTTAAAGAAAATTCATTATTTAGTGCTATACTCGTATTTACATGT